TTGTTTCCCTCTAATTCGGCGGCGGTCAGTTATAATACGCGATGGATACTGTTACCTTGATGATATGCACGCGTTGCTAATTAATTGGGATTCCATGCGACATCCGGCCGCCTTTACGCGGAAAGAATTTCGACCAGTGAAAACGTACAACGAACAATTCGCCGTGCAATGATTCGCGGGGCCGCGGCTCAACCTTGAAGTGCACTTCTCGGATTCTTTTCTTTGTCAAACTTTTCCGTGACGTTCTCCTCTTCGTACCTACGATTTTGTCACTATCTACTTTTTGAATCTACAAAGGTTTGCCATGGTCTTAATATTTGACTCTTCTTAAATCCCAGAAACTTTCTAAATTTTCTTCATACTGGCAAAAGTACTTGCACAAAGAAGAATCGAGCCGTTCTTTCTTCCCTAATCGTTCGTTTCGACGGTATAAAGTTCGTTCTCGCCAACGCCGGTCGCCGGATCAACGCGTACATTCAAATGCATGTATATTCGCGAACGTCTCGCCAGTGCTTCTCATAATGGCCAGTGTTTCTCTGTAACGTACGTGCTAGGAGACCGTGGACAGCAAAGACTCGTGATGAATTTCAATGAACGGCCACGCGAAATGCATATTTGCCTAGCAGCAGAATCTGGCAGCTGCGATAAGATACCGTGCTCCGATCGCAAATTTTCAATCGACACGACGAACAAATTCGTTATTCGCGAGTTAAACGATGAAAAGAAATCTTGTTCTAACGAGTAGAATAAAAAGGAACGAAAGAGTATCGTGGATTCGCAAATAAACGATAAATCTTAACATAAAAGTTATCGGTGAATCGCGTGGCTAGAGAGCGAGTGTTAAATCCTCGCAAAGGTTATTCTAGCATCCGGTTCGCCTAAATAACGTATTCAAGCCGGGTTCTAATTTCACAGATAACGCTCGCGTCGCGTAATCTAGTTACTAAGCGTCTAATCTAATCGGTCGATTCGAATTGTGTGCATGCATACCTGCGCGTAGAACGGTGTGCGTGCGAATACTATCGAGGCGAAAAATTCGACTAGCCGCGGTTCGAGGGAAGCGTGACTCGTAGAATGGTTCGCGACGACGAGCAGCCGCGGCGCTCATTAAATTTAATTAGACCCCCCTTCCTTCTTTTATTTAAAAAAAAAAAACGCTTGCGAACTGGGTTGATCTTGTAGCAAGCCCGGTTGTTTTCGTCAGCGTGCACGACTGCTCCGATTATACGCGACTTTTGCGCGCGATCTTGCTCGTTTTCCTTGTACGACCAATTATTTAAATATTTATCTTATCTTGGTAAATATATTTCGACACGTAACGCTTGCTATTTTTTCGCTGTAATTCATCGTCGATGTTACATCGTCGCGAAACGCGATCACAAAACATTTCCTCCATTTTCTTCGTTTATCCGACGATTGTTTACTCTCCGATTACGATCGATTCCGAATCGCTAACCGCATCAATATAGGTCGGGAATTGCGTCGTCGACGTCGTCGACGTCGTCGTTAAAAGACGAGACGAGAGGGAACGGAATTGTTGCGGCGACGAAGGGAGACGACGATGCACGCGACGATGTCCAGGCGATATACAGTTCCGCGGGAACTCGAGGCGAGAGGAAACACGAGCGAAGCGGAGAAGAGAAAGGGAGAAATAACGGGTGCGAGAAGCACTGCCCTCCGCCGTTCAAGGAGAACAAACCGTTATCGCAGGAGACTCTGTATACCCCTTTTCCAGGTGCGCACGCTAAAGGAGAATCGAGATCGCGTCAATGTCGCAGATCGGCTGGACACATCGACAAAGACATTGTATAATTTCATTGGGAACTAAATACGTTCGACGACGACTATTGTCTCTGTCGAGGATCTGAAAACGCGGTAGAATGCACGAGTACGGAATAAAGAAGGGACGTTGAAGCAACAGATGCCTCGGGTAACTCCGATCGAATACCGGTTCTCCGGTTCTACTTTGAAACGACGCGACGTTATCCTGGCGCGAAGCGAAAACGAGGCCAATTGCAAATTGCGGGTGCAAGTAGAAACGTTGCGCGGCATTTTGCAACGACAGATTGCTTTCTCGATGCGTTATTGTTTTACAAACACGCCAAGTGGGCATCAAGTAGATTATTCGATTCGTCAAAAGTGTGTCGTTAGATCGGCGAAAATAAACTCGTCGAAGCGGGGAAGGTTGTTTCGAAACGTTTCGAAGTGGTTCATGGTAAATTAAGCGTTTTGCCGACTCATCGAACCACTATCGTTTCCACGGCGCGTTGCTTAAAAATGCCACTTGTTCCCGCGAAAATTCGATGCTCGTTTACGGAACGAACGACTACTGTCGTTAAAAAGGCGGTTTGTCGATGAGTCGACGCGACAGAAGGCAGTAACAACGTGGGTCCTTTCTCCGCTTCTCTTTTGCGTCGTGCCAGTTTGTACATAGCCGAATGAGTATGTGCGTGGCGAAGAGCGTGTATGTACTCAGGCAAGCAAGCAAGCAGGTAAGTAAGCAAGGTAAGGCAAGGTAAGGCAAGGCAAGAGGAGCACCTGGGCATCTATGCGTCATTGTGGAGGATAAAAAAAGCCGTAAGGCTGACAGAATGCAAGGAGAACGTCGACAAAACAGCGGCACGGTGCGACTAGTAAAGCTGGTTTGTCTTTTCCCTCTTTTCTAAGAGGCGCTCTCGGTAGTACGGCTCAATAGCGATCATCGACGACTCCGTTCTTTCTTTACTCCGTTTCGCACGTTCTTCTTCGAAGACAATGCCACGCTATCCCGAAAGTATTTTAAGAGTCTAACGCGTAAACAGTCCCGTGCAGCGACATCCGTACCTGTTTCGAAAATATGTTGACGAGCAAAAGTACCCGGTTCCAGAGAAAGATCCAGAGGTGAACGCAGCGCATTACCGGCGAGATGGTGGTGGTGATGTAAAAATCGGCGTGCTATCGATCGGATCTAAAGAACGGTATACGGAAAAAGAATGAAAAAGAAAAGGAAAATGTAAAAGAAAAAGAAAAAGAAAAGACGGGTATCCTTCTTGCGAGGACAGATTGGACGAGCTCGTAGGCGAGAGTCGAAGCCTCAAGGCTCCTTGATCGCGCTTCCAAACTCTCGCGCGTTCAAGGATCGACTTTGTACGGAGGAATTTTTATTGGGACACCGCTCCGCTCCATTCCGCGACGTGGCAAGCGAGTACCGTCTGACGCGTGCATAATATACGCGTGCAAGCGGCTCCGGCCGAATTTTTTCAGAAGCCCAGCGCATCGTCATCGAAACAGACATCGAGAGAGCACCAGGGAACGTGCGATTTTTATTTTTTACCGCTTCTACCCCCTCCTCTCCGATTTTCTTCTTTCGTCCATATCGTTCCCTTTCCTCTCGCCCTTGCAATTTCTCTCCCTCCCCCTTCTCATCGCTCTCGTCACCCTCGCTTTTGCATCTTCTTTCCCCGCCGGACCTTCTGTATCGCGAGATCTATTTATACCTAGTCGGTCGGTGTTTTCAACTTGCAGCGGCATCGTGTAACAAACGCGCGTCGCTCGTAAAAATAGGGGATCTGCACGATACGTTGCACGTCCCGGAGAGAACGGAAGGGAGTGAGGGGAGCGGAAAAGAGCGAGAGGAGAGAGAATTCGTAAAGCGTCCGGACGTAGGGTCGAAAACAACGCATCGTGAGAGGAAATTTCGTAAAGGGTTTCCTCTACGGAAAGGTAGGATTCGAAAGGATCGAGGAAAAGGCGCGAGATTCGAATTTCGCGCGATTGCGCCGCTAGATCGGAGGCGCGTGACCTTGTCGTAAAACGAACGATTTCCTGGTACGGGCTATTTTTATCTGTTCTTCCTAATACATCTGAATAAAAACAAGCGGCTGGTAGCGCGCAGTATAAAAGAATCATCGCCATGGCGATTGCGACGAAGCTACTTTAATTGAATCTCGTCGCAACGGACACGGCTCCACCGTTCCCATTTCCGTTCCCGCTCACAGCCAGAGGGCGTCGTCGTTTCACGGAGACGCGGAATTTTTCGTGAATGAACGGCCGGAGAAAAAGAGAGGAAGGAAAACGAGCAACCAGCAGCAGCAGTAGTAGCGGCAGGAACGAGAGGGCAGGGGTTGTAGAAACAAGAGAGAGAAAGAGAGAAAAGACGCGGTACGCAGGAGCGACTAGGAAAACCGGGCAAAAAACACGGGAGAAAACGAGAGTGAACGAGAAGCCGAGAGGTGCAGGGTCGAGCTTAACGTACGTACGTACGTACGTACGTACACACGGTACTCGTAACACGCGGCCTGGAGCAGCGCGCGCGACAAAAGGATCGGGCACTCGCAGACGGATTACGTCATTTCCCAGGCAACCTCTAACGTCTGGCATTATATGTTCGTCTAGCGGTCGTCTAGTCACGGCAATCCCTTCTCGGACAAACACACCAGCCAGTACCAGTATCAGAGTATGAGTACCCGCCGCGTGGCTACCTTTCACGGTCGCGGTCTTTACGCGCCTCTACCTACTCTACCGCGACGCGTTAACTAGCCGCTCGTAGACGCGGTGTCCGTGAACACAGACGAAATCGTGCGCGTTAACGATACCTCTTCTTTACTCCGGTTCACACCATCAAACGCGTGTCGCTGTGAGCGGCCCGTTCCTACGTATGTTCGTGCAAATATGCACACGCGTATAGCCACGAGTGCAACCACGAGAAACGCACGGTGCAGCACACAACGCGACACGCGTCTACGCATGCAATATACTCACAGACACTCTTTTCATTTCTCTCGCTCATACGAACATGCGATATGTCGTTACCTTTCTGTCCATACATACACACGTACTCTCTATCTTTCTCTGTCCGAGTATGTCTGTTTAATCGTCTCGCTTTCTCGCGTTCTCGCCTTCTCCATTCGCTCTTTCTTTCTCGGTTTGAAGCGCGCGCGTTCGCGTACTCTCTATCGGTCGTCTCTCGCTTTAGAAACCGACAGGCGGCCGAAGGCCACCATTCTCAGCTGTGGACGTACCTTGATCGTCGAGTGCGAAGTAAAGTGTGGGGCTCCTTTGCCCGGTGTCCTTGTCGTCGGTGCTAAACCCACCGTTTGACTGTCGGATGCGACGATCGCGACGACGAGCAAGCCTTCTTTTCTCTTCTTTCAGCCGGCTCTCTCGATTTCTGTCTGTCCCCGACTTCGTCTTCCTCTTGGTCTTCGTCTCCACTGTCGCCTCGCCCCCCGATTATTCACACCGGAGCTATCTGGATCCGCTTGAGATTCCCTAAACCACGCCAGTCTCGTGCGTTCCGCAGGATCTCGAGGACACTCGTAGGTCCATCCTCGTGAAACACGATGCACGACCAACGTATCGACGACAAACGAGTCTCGTCTTGACAACGTGATTTCCTCTCGCGAACTCGACGAAGAACGCGCCCAAACGATCGCTCCGTTCGATCGACACGAATCCACTATCGTCGATCCTCCAGAAACGCGACAAACTTTCCTACGTAGTCGACGACGTAAAAAAAAAAAAAAAATACGATCACACTTTTCTTTTTCTTTTCCTGTTATACAGCCTATTTATCGTTGATTTTCACTGTTCGTCCTGTTGCTCACCAATTTTGAAGAGGTCTGGTTGAAAGGGCCCGGATCGCGTATCTCGGTACACGCGGCTGTCACACGCGCCTCGAAGGACGAAAAGGACGAAGGATACGCGTGTCCGTGAAGGAACGATCGTCGTAGTCGTTACAGCGTAACAATAGCGTGCGTACACGAAGAAGGACAAATATCCCTTTGCCAAGGATCTTCCCTTCTCTCTTTGCTCGATCTTCGTAAAGTGCAACGCGGAGCGATGCGATGCGATGCGATACGACGCGATGCAACTGGATCACCGTGAATCGGTTGCCGCAACGATTCCCATACGTTTGCACGCGTGGTTATCACTATGTTTCGTTGCTTGTCTTTCTTCTTCCGTGTTGACGGCGACGACGGGTGCGTGTGTCTGATGCAACGGGAACAAAGAAATAAAAGAGGAACAAACGCACTCCCGTGTGATCCGGAGAACTCCGAAACTGATTGTGAGGATCGCGTGAGCGACGATCGAAATTCGCAAGAGATCTGTTAAAACGTAGTCGGCGAACGTAGCGTAGGATCTCTATACGAAGGATCCCGCGGTAAAGTATCCAATATTATCTTGCGGGACGACACCATCGAGCAAAGGACCAGCTTCCTGCCGCTTCTTTGGGACACACCGGGGGACTACCTAGTCGTAGAGTGATTGGGAACGCGACTGGCCAAAGCACTTGATTCGCGCGCGGTTCGGTTTGCCCGTTGCTGCGCCTCTCCCGTGCAGTTTTTTCGGCGGTCTCGTGGTATGCGTGCATGCGCGTGCATGTATGCGTGAGCCCGCGCGCTCCTCTGTGTGTCCCTCGGACTTTTTCTCTCTCTCTCCTTCCTCCTCCTTCTTCCTGTCCCTCTCTCGCTCTCCTCGCTGTTACACACAACCGTGTTTCTCTCTCTGAACGCGCGTATGTACCGGCTTAGCTGGCCCGCTTGTATTCCCTCGTACAGACGGCTGAATTTTCGTCGCTACGCGTGTGTGAGTTCCTCTACGCGTCCGTGAGCGCCTTTAAGCGATCCCTCGTCGTAGTCGTCGTCGCGTCGTCGTATCGTCGTCGCCGTCGTCTTCGTCCTCGTCCTCGTCCTCGTCGCCGCAACCGTGTATCTACGCGTGTCCGTCCCGATCCGCGTTCGTCGTTCTATACGTGCGTGCGCGCCCCGGGTAGGCGAGGGTATAGTTACCGAAATGTTAACCTCGTGGAACCACTTTTTATTGAGTGTCGCAAAATTCATAGGAACCTCCGGTAAGGAGGAGAGGGGCAGTGGCCCCGTCTCTCTCTCTCTCTCTCTTTTCTCTTTTCTCCTACGTCTATCTCTTTTTCTCTTTCACGATTCTCTACACGTTGGCGGGGTTAACGCGTGAGAGGGGCGGCAACCCCCACCTAGCCTCATTCTCTGGCCCCGCACTACCCCTCTGTACACTCGACTACCCTCCTCCTCCACCGCCACCTTCCTTCTCCTCCTCCTGCTGCTGCTCCGAGCAGCCTGGTCCTCGCCAATTCTTTGGCCCCACCACTTCCTCGCTAGTGGTCCCCCAACCCTCACTTTTGTCCCTCTCTGTTCCTCTTGCCCTCCGTGCCACGTCCATGCAACTCTTCGTCCGTTCGTTCGTTCGTTCGTTCGTTCGTTCGTTCGTTCGTTCGTTCGTCCGTCGTTTGTTCCGTTCGTTCGTTCGTTCCGTTCGTTCGTTCCCCTTGCCCGTCTCGAGTCTCGACCGTTCGCTTGCCCTCTTGTTCTGCCACGTTTCGTCTCTTCTTTACTCTCTTCGTCACCCCACACTCCGAACCTCGACCCCTGGCCCGCGTCTCTCTATCCGTACTCGCTTCCTCCGTCTTCTTCTCGCAACTACCTTTCGCGTACTCTTCCCTCGGTACTCGCCACTACTTGCACCCTTCCTAACCCTCTCTCTGTTCCGTTCCGTTCCATTCCATTCCATTCCGTTCCGTTTCGTTCCTTCTTCATCCTCCCTTACCCTCTGCTCCCTACTCTTCGTTGCACACCCTTCTCTTTGCTTCCTTCTCCTTTCGAACCCCTTCTCCGTCTCTGTTTCTCTTTTCGTTTCGTCTCGTATGCGCTCTCTTACTCCTTCTTCTCTCTGTCGCTTGCACCCTTCCGTCTTTTCTTGCCCCTTGCTCCACTTCAGACCCTACCGCGGCATTTAGCCGTGCATAGCCGAACTTATGTACAGTTAGTTGCGCATCGAATAGTCCTGTCGATTCTTCGTTCGACACCGCGTCGACGATCTTGCCAATGTCCCCTTTACGGATCGATTCTAACGTCGATTTTTCAGCTGAAACAACCCTTCCCTTTTCCCTCGCTTCTACCGGAGAACGTGCTTGCTCGTTCGAGCGAGATTTTCGTCGTCGATACTTCCGATAGTAGGTACACCGTCGTTTTACCGCCTCGATGGTAAGCCAATAAAACGATCGATCGTTTTCGCAGATGCGTTTTCTGGTCGCGTTACTTCTGCTTTCGTGGCGCGTCTGGTTTAATCTACAAAGAGAATATCCTTCGACGTTGCCTGACAATTCCGATGCATCTGTGTCAATAAGCTGCAAGGTGTTTACCTTTCCATGATCCCAGGAACACGCGTCTAGATTGGAACGATAACGCGCGAATACGGATTCGTGTCCTTCGCCAATTCGATCGACGATCTAATTGCCGCGTCGATCGCGGACGAACAAATATTTCCACGCCTCGGAATTAGACGAGTCCCGATTACCCGCGAAAGCATTCTGAATTTCCAAGAAAACCGCGCTAAAACTCGACCATCGTCGACCTCGATTACGAGCTCGTTTGCGAATACAGCGAGGTCAATCGAGACAGCTGTTTTTTAAAACGCTGCCTCAACGATCGGCTCCATTCGATGCAGCCTCAATGATGATTCGATTCCGCTAGACTTTCAACAAATTTTTGGCGGTGAGAAACCGCTTCAAAGTCTTTGCTGAATTCCCAATGAAGACGTTTCCTAATGTCGTGGCTCTCTTTGTCCCGGCGAGAGCGTGGACAGGATTGCCGGCAGGTGTTCCACGCGAGACCACGACTATCTCGAATTTCGTTTATTGGTCGATCCGCCTTCGAAACCGCGTCCAGTCGAGACCCAAGGGCCAATTAATATCTTGCGGGGTCATTAGCGAACTCCCGTTCGTTCGCCCTTAATTGACCGTCTTCTTCGATGCAGCCGTACACACCGCTAGCGGCACGTACTTGAGAATCTAATTGGCGGGTAAGACGAGTACGTTTGACTTCGTGGTCGAACGTAACCCGTGCACCCGTTCAGCGATAACAGGCTTCCTTTTATTTTTCTGCCCGTTCGCGAATGAACATCGATTCTACGTTGTCGCGAAATTTTTCTAAATGTTTGCAACACCTCGTATCCGTCATGGTTATCGCTGTTTTCTACGCATCGACAAGAAAACAGAGAAAAAAATGAAGGAATGCGTCGGTCGTCGGTGTTTGCGCATGTGGCTGCGACCTGAAAAAGAAACGCTCGTCGTCGATAAAAAGTTACCTCTGCATCGGGTAGATATGTATGCCATTTCTAAAAATACCATTTCTGAAACAGCGTTTTCGTACGCTTGCGGTCGTACGCGTTCGCAGAAATCGTACGGTGTGCATCGTACCTACCGCTGCGTAGTCCGATCTAACCGCGAATTTATCGTCAGCTACGAGCAACTAGACGACGACGAAAGAATGCGCCGAGCAAGGATTTCCAATGAATCGAAAGTTCAACGGTGGTCGCGTCCACCTATGCACATATTACTTGGAGGAATCTTGGAATGGTCGGATCGCGGTGCCGACGAACTTCTAATCCACGCGACTCTGTTCCACGTTCCGGCTTATCGACTTTCGACCACGGCACGAATCTTTGCAGCCGTCGACTTTCTTGCGGTCTCGAAAGGTAAATCGAGCCGGATCCGTGGCCAACAACGAGTTTTCGAGCGGACGCTCTGCCGAGTTTCGTATTACCTGTGACCGAAATTCGCTGGCTGAAAAAGATTCGCAACATCCGAACGAGGATCCAGAATTCGATTTGTACGATTTCCACCTGAGACCCTGGCGAATGAACCGTCTTCTTGCCCCCTTACTCTTCCCTTGCCGTCCCCCTCCACCCATCGTCACGATTAATCAGCCTTTCTAGAAGTCACCTATTATCGCGACGATGCAGAATTAAACCTATCGCTTTCCTGTGTATGTACGCACGTATTTATAGTGTGACTAATGCGAGCGTCAGATAAGATTATAATTTCACACTCGACGAGATCTCTCGGTTGCCTAATGCCTGCTCGACGAGGTTAGAGTATAATATTTTTATTACTACAGGAAAAATAACGTTCGCCGATCGTTTTTCCCACAGGCGTTCGGGAAAAATGATAAATTCTTTGCCATTTTTTCTCTTGTCTCGTGAGCAGAGAAACTGACGAAATTGTGTTTACGTGGACGAAGGGAAACATAAAATTCGATGGGAAGATCATTCCACGAATCATCGATCTCTGCTCGAACGATCTCGGCAGGGATCCTTGACCTGACTCACCCGATCAGGCAAAGTGAAACGAACTTCTTCTTGCGAGCGTTTCGCGTATAAGCTACCGTTGTCCCGACGTGAATGAATTATAAATTATAACGAGACTGGCCCGGTGTATCGCACCGTTTCATGGCAAATAAATCTCCGAGCAAAACGGAACGACGGAATAGGATATCGTCTGGAGTGCAAGCAACGGGACGGAGGTAGAATTTGGCTCGCGTACCTACGCGTAAAACTCGAAAACTGGTTCCTCTTTTCGGCTTGCTCCGACCGATTGATCCTCCTTACTTTCTCGTCTTTTCGCTTTTCGCTTTTCACCTCGCCGAATGATTCCGCTTCGCTCTGTATCTCGTGGCAGAAAAAGAGAAAGAAGAAAGGAAACAAATGAATCGGCAAGGAAGGCGTTAATCGAAACGGATAGCAACCTGTGAAAGCTGGACGAACGAACCACTGCGTTATTCTAGTTTCTTGAAAGAATCGTGAACGCGGTCGGTTCGGCGAACGGAAGGGGAACATTTTTCAACCGCTGCATCCTAGATGTGCATTTCTCGGCGTCCTTGGAGGCGAAGCATCTAGCCCGAAGGAGCTTATTCGTGCAGGATCGCTTCGCACGGGACTAGCAGATTGGGCAGGATGGCTTCCTGCGAGTTTGCTAGTCGAGAGAGGGCCATGAACCCCGAACAGGTTGCCCCCTTGGACGTTCACCTCCTGTACCGCCTCGACACCCGTTCCCCTGGCCCTTCTTCTTGCTCTATCTCGCTCCGAAGGGTCCGTTCGCCTCGGCTCCCCTCTCTCAGCTACCTCGTTCTACCACCATTTTTCTGGCCAGCTTCAAAAGCTAGCCACCCTGGCCCCAGGGACCTGCGTTTCCCCTCTCCTCGTCCTCCTACCGTTCCTTCTTCTCTTCGCCCTTTCGCCCCTCCTTTCCTTCTTTCCTCGATCCTCTCTCGCTTCTTTTGCCTTATACACTACCTCTGAATCTACGCTGTATTCACGCGCCACTTCGCCGCTGTTAGATAATCTCTCGCGTTAAAAATCTCGCTGGGCCCCGGGGCCCTCTGCAAAAATTCCTCCTGTTCCCCGACCCAGAGTATCCGTCCTGTTTGGAATAGGTGCTATGCGATTCGGATTCCGGTTCGACCCCCTCTCCAAAGATTACACCTTTTTCTCGCGATTTTTATTCTCTTCTCTTGCTTTTAACTCTTTTCCCTTTCTTTTTTTTTTTCTTCGTCCATCCGCTGTGTGAACGAAACGTCTAAATTCGGAGCGATACATAATGACGTAAATTTACACGGAACCCGCATTCACGGAAATTAGCGAATACATGTGTACAAAACCGGAACTCGAAGAGAACTCGGTGATGTTTCTTTCCCTCGTGTCCCGTCGCATCGACGGTCAGTCGCGACGGAATAGGAATTTTCGAAATTTCTCAATCGCAGCGATTTTCGCAACCGTGCGATTACGACAGTTCGCGATCGAAAATTGCAAACGCGTTCGCGGTATGCGTTCGTGGGGCAACAGTGAATAGGACAGCGAGCAGGTTCGTTGAAAACGACGGTTCCCAAAAGGTCGAGAATCGAGAACGGAGTCGATTGTGTATCACGAGCCACGGTTGATTCGCAGTCTCGAATGCACGGTTGCTCGTATTTCTTCGTCGATGCGTCTAACGTTACCGCGATCGATCGCACGCGACCATCGTTCAATCCGTGAATCAGTCTATTAGCGAGTCGAGTTTCTCGTTTCTCGATCGATTTAATCGAGGGTAAAACGGTCGACGAAACGTTTGCGAACCGCTGGACTAGAATGCGACTAGAATGAACTGTTAGGCAATCGCGAGCGAGCCTTTCCTAGAGCTTCAATTACGCTGACCGTTCGCGATTTCG